GGAAGTGCGAGAGAAGAAGCCGAGTAAAGGAGACGGTTACATTTAACGGTTTTGACAGGGAAATGGTGGGACCGAGATGCCAACCTAGTAGCTCGCTTAAATTCATGCAGTCTGGGAACCAGCGAAAGTAGCTCGTCGGAACCGTTGCCGTGAAAATACTTGTATAAGAGAGAAGGGGAAGCCACGGCACGTCTGTGAGAAATTGACTGTAGACTAGATGCCAGATCAGGACCTATCACATTGCATATCCGTCTCTGGATTTTGTCGAGAACCTCAAGACTTACAGTAGGGGTACCAGATCATATATGACAGCAATATTCCATGCAAGTACGGATGGTTGATTTATTTTTGAAGGATGAACTTAGACGAGAAAAACATTCTGGCACGACATAGAGGACCAACTTTCCTTGCGGTAAATGAAGCTATTGATTCGATGTATTTATTCCACCTCATAACAGTGGACAGCGTGAGACCAAGCAGGCGTAACGAGGCGCTCTCTCAAGGAGTTGGCAATCTGATGGGAGGCAGGGAGGATTCTCCGTGGTGGATAAAGAAGAGCAGTTCTATTTTGAAGGAATTAAAGCCATTTCCTGCCCCAGTCAAGCACAGATTTGAGGTCATTTTCGAGATCAGTAGCCAGGTTAGTTTTGTCAACGATACCAGACTTACTATTGAGGCAGGAGTAAATAGTAGTGTCGTCCGCGTAGATACCTAGCTTGGAACTAATGACATTGGGAAGGTCATTGATGAAAACCAGGAACAGTATAGGATCCAAGATAGAACCTTAGGTAACACCAGCGTTCGTGATAAAGAAGCAGGAGGAGAAGCCATTTTCGGACGACCTTCATTTCACGGCTTGACAATAATTATTGTATTAAGTCAAATAATCGTCATGTAATACCATATCCATGAAGCTTACGAAGACCAGCATGCCAAACCTTATCAAACGCTTTTAGAGATGTCTAGAGCCACGGTTCGAGCTTCTCCATTATTGTTGATTGCTGGGTATACAAATTCAGTTATGGCCGTGAGCATGTCAGCGATATATCGGGCAAAGCGGAAACCATATTGCTTGTCGGAGAGCAAATTATGTGAAGTAAGGTTCTTAACCATTTCGGCGTTGATTAAAGCCTCGAAAACTTTACCGAAGAGTGGTAGGAGACTGATAGGACAGTAGTTAGACAGGTCAGAAGGGTCACCAGAATTCTTAAAGACAGGCACAACAGATGCGGACTTCCAACAGGAAACAGTAGAAATTACAAGAGTCGGTGAGGCAGTAGCTGTAAAGTTTAGAGAGGACAGGAGCCAATTCAGGAGCACATTTCTTCAGGACAATCGCCGGTATCCTGTCCCTACCACTCCCCTTATGAGAGTCTGATTTAGAGATGATGTCCAATAACATCGTTGGGGTTATGTCCATCTCACTCAGTAGAGGGGGAAAATCAGGTGTGGGTACACCAGATTAGTCTAGCATTGAATTGGATGAGAATTTACGAACAAAGAATTCAGTCTTATCAGCTGCGGAATCAGGACCTCAAATTGATTAAATAAAGTTAGTATTGTGGGCTTGATGTTGTTCAGCACGCTCTTGCAGAGCCGCCAGTAATCTTTAGAACCAAACATACGAGACGCAATACGTTGTTTCATTCTTTCGGCAAAGAGTAACTTTTTGGGGACACGCTTGAACTCGTTACGGGCAGTGACAAAGAGACGTCTGTTGTAACCAGAGATTATACGGTACAGACAGAAGTAGTGATTCCCGTGGGCAATAGCAGCTGAGTAAGCAGCTGAGAACCAAGAGGTGAACGTGATTTCACTTTTTATCTTCTTGCAGGGATGAGAGCTTCGATTCCAGCTTTTACCCAGGATGAGAACTCAAACGCACATTTTTGGAAGGGGAGGTTAAAAACAGTATCCTGGCCGGGAGGGGGGAGGCATCACGAAGAAAATCACGGAACGAGTCCCAGTCTGCTTGTTGATAACAGAAAGATGTTCTGTTGGTAGGATGTTCTTTATAAGAGTAAAAGATGTTAACAGACACGACGGCATGATCAGAGTTGCCAAGAGGGCAGAGTTGCGTGGCACGAAAAGACTCGGGGATGGGGGTAAAACATAGATCAAGAACGGAAGCATTAACATCATGGTTACTGGGGAAAGGCGTAGGAAAGTCAACCACTTGTGTGAGAGATTGAGTGATTGAAAAGTTAAGTGTTTGTATGTCAGGAAAGTCAGTTACAGAGTGTTTACGCCATTCCGTTGGTCTGTTATTTTGTGCGTCTCTTTTTCACCACCATTAATTCATGTCCTATAAAATGTTCCCGTAACAAACCTTACACAATTAATTATTAAAGTAGCTAATCACTAAACTTACTCTCTTAAAAAAAACAGTTAAAACGATCAAAACTGTAAGAAAGATGTTTCTTTCTTACAGGCAATTATGTTCTAGAGTTTGTTTTTCCTGGGTGTCCTGCAATGACATACGGTGATTTTTCAGAAAACAGATAAGAATGATGCCGTTTCGATAAATAATGGCATCTGAAGGAGACGAGCCTTAAATAAAGTTGTGAATATGCAAATGCCAAAATAACCAAGATTAGATATTGCAGAATCATAGCGAAAACATTGTAAGTTCGGCAAAGAGAAAGAGTTGTAGACAAATGTGTTAAGAAAAAAGGTAGGTAAGAAAAAACAATAGAAAAATAAAACTTGAACAATAGACAAAGCAAAATACACTGTTGTAAATCAAGTTTTGAATATATATGTGTTTGTTTCAAGTGAGAGAGTGAGAGAGAGAGAGAGAGAGAGAGAGCGAAAGAGAGACAGACAGAAGTAAAACAGGAAGAAACGCAACCAAATCTTATGCATTGGGCACTTTGACGTGGTGTAATAGCAAGTTTGTCTCGCTAGATCAATTACGACTGAATAGTAAGTTTGATTCTGACTTGATGCCCAATACTTTCGCTTAGAAAGTTCCCATAACTTATTACGTATGCGTAGCTGAGCATATATATATATATATATATATATATATATATATATATATATATATATATATATATATATATATATATATATATATTATATAAGATCACTACAAATGTTACAATTTTTGTTTCGATATCTCTGGTGTTTTATCAAGTGATCTAATGAATAAATTTTATCAGTCCTACATGGTACTGAACACTCTTTTAAAAAATAGTGTTTTGGGAATTTTATTCCATGTGTAACAACTTTGTACTTGTGTGTGCGTGAATATATATATATATATATATATAGCCATTCACAGGCAGACTGTTTCGCTGTATGACAGGTCATCAGTGTGGCTAGACATCCGATCTCTACAAGCCAGGACCGAAACCTGTCCGATTTGGTATTAGTCGGAGATTCTAGCCCCTATCCATCGACGCTAGGCAAAGAGAAATGCGAATTTTTGCGCATTTATTTTTTCATAAACACACCAGTCACTCAGAGAACTCAATCAGCTAAGAGAGTCTTGCATTATCAGCAGTAATCGTGGCTGTTTACAAATTCGTTCCTTACTCCCTACAGTTCTCGACCGATTAAATTATTTTATCGAGAGCTAATATTTTCATATTGTGTGTGTGTGTGGGTGGGTGTGTGAGCATTTAGGCAGTATATTTATATTCAAGCATGTTTGGTTAAATAATGTTCATTTCTTTTAGTTTTAATCCTTTCAACTCCACGAATTAATTTCTTGGTGACTTTAAAAAATAAATTGATGAAGAAAAATTAAAAAACTTTCTTTCAAATATTTTTTTTTTATTTTCCCAAATAATTGAGATTGAAAGTACTTGGGAAAATAAAAATTATTTGAAAGAAATTTTTTTAATTTTTCTTCATCAATTTTCTACAGCCACCAAGAAATTAATTCGTGAACTTGAAAGTACTAAAGCTAAAATAATAGACATAAAACGTCTAAATTATTTTACCTAATACACACACACACACACACACACACACACACACACACATATATATATATATGTCTATATTTCTGAGATGAGGTATTATGTACACTATTTACATTATTCGGACTATTGTCCTCATCTTTGTTGCCATATTTATCACAACGAGCCAATGACATGGGCCAAGAGTGTGAGTTCAATACCTGGTTAAGGAGGTGGAGAATTTGGAGAGGGGAATTAACAGGAGATAATTGATAACTGATATCCATTAGACAGTCTACCCCGGCGAGCAAAATAAAGGGTTCAGTTTGACATTCCAACCACCTGAAGAAGGCCGGAGCGTACAACGGCCGAAAAGTTGTGATAAATATGGCAACAAAGATGAGGACAAAAGTTCGAATAATGTAAATAGTATATATATATATATATATATATATATATATATATATATATATATATATATACTTGCTATTAAGTATGTTTCTAAATCAGATAGGGCTAAGACTTACGCAGACCGACTGGGCACTTTAATTTAATTTCATCCTTTTTTTTTTACTTTCTTTATTTCTTTTCTTTCTTTCTTCTTTCTTTCTTCTTTATTATGAACAAGATCAACGAAATTTACTTCGGTCAATATTTTGAGGCACGGAGTTAAAACAATTAATTTTTTATCCAGCAATGAAAAGCCCGACCCCCGGAGTCGTTACTGATATATATATATATATATATATATATATAAGTTTGTGTGCGCAAACAAATATCGTTATATGATGTAATACCGAAAAGTTTCATGAATTTGAAGAAATTTATTAATTTCTCAAGTCTCCTAGACATTTCCGGTCTCTTGTTGATTTGATATTTCCCAAATCTCCCGAAAATCATGACACTGGAAAATAAAGAACAATTTCAATTAATTATTTTATTACTTTAGAAACATTGTGCGACTAACACAAATCACACAATAGCGTATTCAGACTTATGCACACAAATATATATTTATACTTATAAATAAAAATACACATATACATATATATGTATATGTATGTGTGTGTACTTATGCGTATACATACATATATGGTCACATCTCGATGAAACACCAGTTCTCGAACGATCACTGAAGTCAAACAACCTCGGGCCAGGTTGTTACTTAGATGGGTGACCGCTTGGGAATACCAGGTACCCTAAGCTTGGGTGTGCGTGTGGTGTAATGAATAATGGCTCGGAATTGTTAATCGGAGTTCCGTGTTCCAATTCCAGTCGGGTTCTTTATATTCACTTACGTGCAAATACCCTTGGGAACAGTATGAATCCACTTTTTCTCCTCCCTCCACCCTCATTATGTGTCAATTAGTAAGACTTGTCACACTAAATAACTTATTTTCAAAATAAAATTCTTATAATCTAAAATATTTTCTGACTTTAAATAACCTGCAAAAGGTTGATAAGCCGTAAAAATGAATGAATCAATCAAAACATAAATATATATAATACAGGCAAACGAGCGAGTAATCACATAATGCATAGACATAGATATATATTTTTCAAAGAAACGTTAACATAACGCATAATTTAATGTTTGGCTGCTTGTTTTCAATTATTCCAATTTTCTCGTGTAAGTAGTTAATCCCTATTGAAGACGCCTGCTCAGTCAAGTTATGTTTCTTCAAAGCCCACAGAACCACAGTTTCTGTGAAATAATGTACAATTTGATGTGATCAACAATTGAACAAGTCCATTAGGCACAAACTTTAAGTCACGATGACTTGCAAATTTGTGCTAAGGCAAACATCGACGTCTTCCAAACACTTTCGTCTACTCAGTTTCATTCACAAGGTTTGGATCAACCCGTCATATGATTTTCAGAGTGAAAATGACAGCCACCATGCAGTGTTGATTCCTACGTCCACACTGACTAAATTGTAGTATAATTTTCAGAATGAAAATGACAGCCACTATACAGTGTTGATTCCTACGTCCACACTGTCTAAACGCTCTCTCTCTCTCTCTCTCTCTCTCTCTATATATATATATATATATATATATATATATATATATATAAAACAAAAGAATATTTATTAGTTATTAACTGAACTAATATGTAGATACATACGGTAAAAATATAATTTTAACGTACACAACATTTATTTTTGTTAAAGTGCTCAATATCAGGGATAGAGCGTATGTAAATATAAAATAATAAAATATGGCCTAAAATGTCCTGAAGATTGCGTTTAAGCATGACACAGACTGCTAGGTATATATATATATATATATATATATATATATATATATATATATATATATATATATATATATACATGTTTCATTAAAAACGACAGACAAGGTACTACGGTTGAGCTTTTTATTTAATTTTTCTTGTGTTCTGACAAGAGCTTTCTTTTCTGGACAAAGGGTGTGTAAGAACTGTCCGAATGTTTTATATTTCCGAGCGCTTTCGGCTATACCTTTAGCTATTATCAAGGATGATTCGATTATCAGCTTAGTAGAGTGTGTGCGTTCTGTGTATGTTCAGTGTGTGGTAGTGATGTTTTTAATTTCCGAATACGGTTAGCACATTGTGGCTTTGTTCATAGTTAATATTGTTAAGAGTTGGCTTTTTCTTTTTTATTATTAGAGCTTCCATTATTTTTAGTCTTTTTTTGCAAGTGGATGCAGTTAATATATTTGTGTTTTCTACTAGTATGTTCCTAATTGTGTCTGGTAAATCTGAGTGGGTGTTTAAATGTGTTCTGATGAAGCTGTGATCAGATATATATATATATATATATATATATATATATATATATATATATATATATATGTGTGTGTGTGTGTGTGTGTGTGTGTGTGTGTGTGTGTGTGTGTGTGTGTGTGCATTGTCAAATATTAATATAAAATAGTACACATGTGCATGTAGTAATAATAACAAATATATAGGAAAATGTACAATCATTCTTTGTGTATATATATATATATATATATATATATATATATATATAACGATCTTCACAATATATAAGTCAGCTTCACCCACATTATGTTCAATAAGATGATAAAATTCGTCGAATGAAAATATTTGCGATGCCAGTTATTCATTAAAATTCAAATATTCAATAACCAAAGATAGACTCATAGAGAACAAAGTGATAGAATTTATTAGCTTTTTTTATTTCGTTTCTTCTTTTTTGTCTCATCCTGTTCAATATTATATGAAAATAGAAACATTTAAGGGGACAACTAAATCGTATTCAATTATTTCAAACTTTAAATCTTTTCCATCTAGGGTATTTTTTAAATCGATCATAACATTGAACTAATAAACACAAATCAAACAATTTCTCCGTTGGCAATTTTCAAATTATTTTTAAATCCATCAAAATGGAATGAATGAGCAAGACTGAGCTCTCAGTGAAGTTTGGGTAATTTAAAAACATTGACGAAAATATATTTATTTCATCAATCATAGTATTTTATTTTGGTAAGGTTTTCGGTGTCGTTGTTTGCGCTACTTAAAAGATAGTCATACATAAATTGTTTGGTATTGATTTGGTTCGACCCATGATGTAAGTTATGCCTGCCATTATGCCTACCATTTTGTAAATCAAATCTATATCTACCTTTTTGACTCTTCTGCAAATGTCTTAATTCTTTAATATTATCCAAACCAAACCTGTGTCTATATTTTGACTCTCGTGTAAGCCAAACCTATGCCTATCTGTCTATTGCTTAATAAAACGACAGAATTAGGCATTAAATAATCTGGAAAATGTTAATATGCCGCAAACCACTCAAACCCACGATATAGATTATCAGAATGACATGTTAAGTCCTTCACGGAACTTCTAGGGAAAGGAGAATTGCTTGACTATTCTCATCTCCTCTTAGGGTAACATGATATGGCTACAATATAGTAACATTAACAAAGAACCTCTAACTTTACTACACACTTTATCTTGACTAGCTGCGTGACAATGGGACATAGAATAGAAAAAATACTTTCATACATTTATCAAATGAATTATGACAAAATTATTACACACAGCCTGATCCAGAATTCAAACTCAAATCTTCTATTCCCTCATATCATTAACCATCACGTCATCTCGGAAGTAGTCGTTTAAATTTATTCTGGAGTTCCGATCTCTCTTAATATAGCCCATCACATCACACCATCCTGTGTGTCATGATAATGCGAAATGCGGCAAAATAGCCTGGTCTTAATAGCCAACAAATAACGGCGTACATTGTTTTATTCTTCGTGGGAAACTAGTTACCATGCTCTTGTCTTTGACGTGAGCCGTGAGATGAACTTAAATACCGCCATTTTTAGTAAGTAGAAAGAAAATCTTGGTGGAAAATAGAGATGCAAAATTCCGTTGATCCATTCATTGTCATTCAGCTTCATTGTCAAATGGTATATTATACAGAAATACTGAATGAAGTGCAGATTTTAATTTTATCTGAAACAACTTTTTATTACTGTCTTCCTACAAATTAAATACATCATCATCGTCATCATCACCACCTGTGTGGAATGTTCTTTCAGGATATGAGCGATCACGGCTCTCCACAGCTTTTTATAGTTCTTAGTAAGGTTTGCCTTTACATCATCTCTCCGAGCCCATGTTTTCTAATCCATTTGTTAACTAATTTACTCGTTGTTTCCCTCTTGTGTTCTGTATGTCATGTGAGTATCAAATTCTCTAAGCCTTTCTTTCTCGCTTTGTGAAAGTTCAACTGTTTCTTTGTGATTCTAAATATATGCGTCCTTTTTGTTTCCATTTTCCTTAAAACTTCCTCGTTCTTCACATGTCCCTTGCATGGTATTCTCAGCATCTTTCTGTAGAACCACATTTCTGTTACCTCAAGTCTTTTCTTCATCGATGAGGAGATTGTCCAGCATTCACTGATATATTTGTTTATTTAGCGGTATTTCAATATCAACTCCTTATAGATCATTGAATTCTGAAATTAAATTTTCTTAGGAGCATGAGTATTTTTTTTACAAAAATGTACTGCTGGTAATATTTTTTTTTTCAAAAATATATTGTTGGTAATTTTTTTTTAAATATATTGCTTGTAATTTCGTTTTCCAAAAATGTATTACAGGTAATACCTTTTTCCTTACAAAAATGTATTGCTGGTAACATTTTTCCTATAAAAATGTATTTTTATACTTTCATCCATCCTGGGTATGACGATAAACTACATCCGCGTCCTGGGTAAGACGATAAACTACGTCCAACAGCAAGGCCTGTGATCAGGAGGCTTTGAGGAGCGTGGAACCACCTTTTAATTGCTGATGTTCCCAGGTTCACTCTGACCCGGAGTGGTAGCACCTGTTAGGGTCCCAACTTTGGACAAATGGTTAACCCCTAAACTGGGGTCGAAACACTATGTAAGTGTAAAAATAGGTTTTAATACCAGAAATACTTTGTAAAAAATTATTATCAGCAATGAATTTTTTGAAGAAAAATTATTACCAGCAATACATTTTTGAAAAGAAAATATTACTAGCTATAAATTCTTGAAGGAAAAAGTATATTAACAACAATAAAAATTGTCGGCATTAAATAACCAATTGTGGTTGATGTGCCGTAAAACAAACCAAATCAAACCAAACTATACTTTTATAGGATTTTGACCCCAGTTCTGGGGTTAACTATTTGCCCATGGCGGGGACCGTAACAGATGCTACCACCTTGGGTCAAGATGAACCTAAGAACAATAGCAATTAAGAGGTGGTTCCAAGTCGACACTGATATATAGGTAGACTGATATTACATAACAGTTTAGTACACTTTTCTTTGTTTCTAATAAAATTTACTCGAATAATATTGCAATTGCAGATAACCAGATTGATGTGACTATTTCTGAGACAAGAAAAAACATAGACGACAACTATGCGGAATTTCAATAATAAAATTTACTGAGAATATCTTGGAATGATTTATGGAGCCAAACGATTCTTAACATTAAAACATATCAACCCAAAACAGAGATTAACATCTTCATGTGCCAATTCCCTTCAGGACGTATGCAGTATACTAATGTCTTGAGCCCCTGCTCTGTTCGAGATATGAGTCCATCCAGAAAAGCGAATTTGTTGTTGGTTTCTCCCTCCATTGTGAACTGTATCGATGATCTTATTGAGTACACAGGGTCCAGTAGTAGCTGGAC